CCTGTGGCCTACTTAAAGGCCTTTATAGCCTCCATTGCGGCCACTTCACCCCTGAGAAACCCTAGAGAGAGAAAGAGAACGTTTGTGGTGCAAGAGGAAGGCTAATTCACCATTTCTTGTGTGTTTTAGCAAAAGAGAAGTAGTTTCCAACAAGATGAGGTCAAGGGAGCTGTGGATCCAGGGTTTTCAAGTTCAGATCTACACTATTGAGGTATCAAATCGAACTTCCCTTCTGTTTTGGGTTAAGATCTATGATTTAGGGTTTTCTATAAACCTTTTTAGGCTTGAAAGGTTGAGGTTATGGTCCCTTGCTGGGTTAGACCTCAGATCTGGACCCATAGAGGTCCAGAGAACCTTTCCCATTCTGCTTTATGCTTGTTCATGGAGGATTGGAGACTAGGTTGCATTATTTCTCCATTTATGACTTGATGTGGGTTGCATGCACGTAAAGTTTGCACCTTTACGTGACCTTTGAGCACTTGAAGGCCAGATCTATAGTTTAGAGAAGCAGATCTGACCTCAGAAGGTCATTTGAGAGTTGTTATGGGAGCAACTTGCCGAGTCCATAAATGGACTCGACGAGTCGAGTCGGGGTTGCCCCGCGATTCGTGACAGGTGTAACCCGTCGAGTGGAAGGATGACTCGACGAGCCAAGAGAGGCTGAAAGGATTCAGAGGACCCGCATGGACTCGCCGAGTCGCCCTTGTGCACTCGACGAGTCGGGTCAAAGTTTGACCGTTGACTTTCGTTGACCTTAGGGTTCTGGTCAAGACTGATTCAAGAGAGTTCAGGGAACGGTAGAATGGCCTTCTACCCAATCTGTAGAGATGAGATCACGAGAGAATATTGATCGGGGATGTTATTTGAATAATAGGGGGAGGCTAAGTCGGGACGTTGAGCACGAAAGTTTATCCGACTTCATTGAGGTGAGTCTTCTCACTATACTGTACCTGGAAGGGTACCTATATGTGACCGGAAGGTCTTATATGCTATGAGATGTATGAGATGTATGTTGTTATGTGATATGTATGTGTTATGTATGTTATGTACGATAAGGACCGGAAGGTCAAGATGATATGGACCGGAAGGTCAAGTGGTTACGGACCGGAAGGTCGATACGGGTAGGACCGGAAGGTCTACCGGGATTCTGGACGGAAGTCCCCTGAGACACATGGATCGGAAGATCCTACAGAGTTATGGCCTGGAAAGGCGTATGTGTTGTATGTGGTATCTTGGGGAACTCACTAAGCATTTATGCTTACAGTTGTTATATTATGTGTTTCAGGCACTAGTGATGATCGTGGGAAGGCGCCGGCATGATTCGTACACACTTATAGAGTTTATGTTATTGAGATTTCGGGACATGTGTTATTATGACACAGTGGATACATTATGTTTTGTGATTATCGTGTAATTGAAAGTATGATTTAAAAATGAAAAATTGTTTTGGAAATTTACGTCGTTACATAAACACACCCACTAACTACTCTATCACACACACACAGCCACCCTAGTGGTGGCCGGCGGTGGCTTGTGGTGGTGGTGGCCTTCTAGGTTTTCTAGCCACGCAAAACACCAACAAAACGAACAACAACATCAGATTACACACATACATGCGACCCAGAAACTGAAACGTCCACTGCAACCTTCCTCGGGGCGGTGGCTGTTGGCCGGAGCAACAAGAGCAAGCCCTACGGGCGGCGACAGTCGTGACTACGGCGCCACACCGGAGAAATGGAGAAGGAGGGTTGAGACTTCGCTAATGGCAGCAGCAGCAACAACTGAAGATGACCCCTTTTTGATCTTCGTTCACGACAACCTCAACAGCCAAGAGTCACGGGAATGGCGGCACTTGATGGATGCCCGTAATGGGTGAGGTTAGAGTGGCGGTTGGAGGATGAGATCATTTAGGGTTAGGGTTTGACGGCAGTTGGCTAATATACCCGACTCCCTTAACATTTTCCCATAATAGCGAAACCAGCCCCTCCAACTTCTTTTTCTTACAAAATAAGTCATAAGTTACCCTTTAACCCCCAGCCATTTAAAATCTCTTCAAAAGAAGTCCAGAATTTACTCCTTGGACCCCGATTCCATAAATTCATTTCATTTTAAGTCCAAAACTTACCAAACAGCCCCTTAGCCTCTAAAATATTTTCAAAAGAAGTCCCATTAGTTACCATTTAGTCCCTGCCTTCATAAATACTTACAAAACTAATCTGAAACTTACACTTTTAACCCTCGACTTCTAACATTCTTCACAAATTAGTCCGGGACTTACATTTATTATTTTATTTAAATAAACGGGGCGTTACATGTAGACCCCCCCCCCTGTTTGCTTATGTGTTGTATATTAGGAGTTTGGTTACCAATATTGGGTTTTGGTTATGAAACTTCGGGTTATGAAGTTCGTTGTACATGTATTGAATGGTTGTCATGTGATTGTACACCTGAGTTGATGTGGAATTGGATGCTACGTGTGATTCTTGGATTGACCATTATTACGCTCGTGGAAGCGGTGGATTTGTGATTACTTGTCAGGAAGTCAAGTATGTATTTGAGGTCTATTGGACATAATTTCCTGATTTGTTGGAATTCACGATCGGGATTTTTGGGTGTTCGTTATGCATGTTTGGTGGTGTTCCTAGTCAGGTACTAGGGGTAGGTATGATAGATGGGCGACCATCAGTCCTTAGGTATGGTTTCTGGAGTTTTAGGCTTATGGATTCCCAGTTTTGTGAAGTATGATGCTAGAGTTGGTGTGTAGTTGCAATTTTGAGAGTTTCATGGTTGGAGTGGTTTCCGCTCTGAGTTGGGTCTTATAGTTGGGGAAGGAGCGGTAGTCTTGCAGTTGAGTGTTTTCAAGTGTTGGGTTGTTTGTTGGCATTAGTTGGGTTCCGAGTGGTCTCTTGAGTTTTCTTTATGGGTGCTTTAATTTTTATAAAGCGATTAGAGGGAGCATATGGATTGTGTTGGTGCTATTTTTAGAAATTCTAACCGAGATGGATTTCGAGGACGAAATCTGGTTTAAGTGGGGGAGAGTTGTAACATCTAGTTTAGGGATGTTTCTTATTTTGGGATTTTGGACCATAATTCGAGCATGCAAAGGCCTTGGGCTTTAATGGAATAAATTTTAGACCTTATTGGACGTGGATATTATTGGTTAAGTGAGTTAAGCTCTTAAATTGTATTTTAGATCCAAAGGGTAGAATTGGAAAGCTATATTTGGACTCCTTGATTAAGTTCGATATTCATTAAGTCAAAAGTAATTAGATATAAATATGGGGCTTTTCAATACCTTCGGTTGCATATAAAGATCACTAAAAATGGAGTTGATAAGAAGAAGTTATGGCTGTTTGGAGTTGAAATGGATTGTGGGAAAATCGGGTTCTCCACAGTGTGGAACGCTATGGAGCCCAAACCCATTAAATTAGGGTTTAACTCGTATTTAAGGTTTTCAACCCCTTGTTTTAGGTCATTTTCCATCCTCCATTGCACCAAGAAACCCTATTTTTAGCAAACCTTAGCCACCCTTCTTAGATTAAGCTCCTTACATCTCATCTCTCCTCTTTTGGATGCTTTTGGTGGTGTTTTGATGAAGCTTGAAGATCAAGAAAGTTCTTTTGGTTGCAAGGAATGTTGTTACCAGTTTGGACCCATCAGATTCACTCCATTTGTGAGTATAAAGTCCATATCTTGCTCTTTAGTTCATTAGATCTTGTCATTTGTGGTTTTTGGCACTTTTGGTCCATTTTATGGCTGGTCTTGGAGTTGAGTGGACTCCAACATCTTTTAATCAGTTTGGAATGTTTCTTGGACCTCATGGACTAGGAAAGTTATGATCTTTTGTCTTCCCTTTAATCCATACAAGTTATCTTGCTCGTTTAGGTCATTTTTGTGTATTAAAGTTTAGATCTTGACAGTTTATGGCATTATTATGGATAAAGCTTGAAACTTTATCCATCTAAACATCATATTGATTCAAATATGAAGGTTGGAGACTTTGGATTTAATGGATTAAGTTGAGAAAGATGCATTTTTTGTCCCTTTGAGACTTAAAATATAGATTTTGGTTGTTTGGACCATTCTAATGGATAAAATTAGAAAGTTTATCCATTATAAAGCTATTAGGTACCAGATCTGATATTCTGAGCCTTGGTCTTTATGGATTAAGCTCTTGATGAAGGAAAAATGGCATTTTGCCAGAGACCACGACGTGGCCAAGGAAGGCCCACGGCATGGTGGTGCTCTACCTCTTGATTTTTTTTTGTCCTGATTTGGCCACGGTGTGGTGGTCCACTGAGTTGACTTTGTCAAATTTGGGTAGAATTGAATTTCTGGCTAAGGAATGGTCTTAGTTTGGTGTTAGGTAGCTTGGGTAGTTGTTTTGTTGTTGAGGTAGATGTTGAGTTTTGTTGAGTAGCTCAGATGAGTCTTCTCACTATACTATGTAAGTTGCTAGACTGTTTTTGTAACTTTAGCATGAAAGACCATGGGATGACCATGGCACTTATATAAAAGATCATGAAAGGTCCATGACACATGTATGAAAGACCATGGGATGACCATGACAGCCGTACAGAAGACTATGAGAGAGAGAGAGAGAGAGAGAGAAAGAGAGAGAGAGAGAGAGAGTTGTGAGTAGAGAGGAAGGAGAGAGACTCGGTAGTAGTGTCGAGTCTCTTTGCCAGTTTGTCATGCTACAGGACACGTGTTTGTTATGCCATATAGGCTCCATTGCTTAAGAACATGAATTACATAATTCAAACATTCTTTTTTTCAAATTGTATTTAAAAGTCAAACTTTAATATAATAACTGGTGTCAAATCAACACAGATACCGATGAATCTACAACATGAATACATCTAGTCTATTTCACAAATCACAATGATACAAGTATATTGTATAATTAGCTTATAAATTCAGAACCCAACAAAAAACAAAGAAACCCACCTTTTAACTACCAAACATATTAAAAACTATACACATTGTTCCATGCAATCTTACTTGTACATATTTGGTCGGATATAATCACCATATAATGAACGGGCTTGAAAAGTCGGGCCCATTTCCAATCGCGAATCACGGGCAGCCTGACCCAAACCCGCATCCAACCTTGGGTCACGGGCACCCATATCAAATCTTGGATCACGGCCAGACATGCCCAAACCCACATTTGATCTTGGATCATTGGCAGACGGGCCAAAACCCACATCCAATCTTGGGTCACAGGCGCCCACATCAAATCTTGGATCACGGGCAGACAGGCCAAAACCCACATCCAATCTTGGGTCACGGGCAGGTGGGCCCACACCGAATCTTGGGTCAAGGGCAGACGGGCCGGTTTCTTGGTAAGGGAAGGTGGGGACCATGCGAAATCGATCATCAAGAGACGCAGATGAACTAGAAAAGGATTCTGTAATAAATTGACCAAGTTGACCTCCAGAAGGCCCAGTGTGTTGTTGACTAGTCAAACTTAATCTAGAATCATAAGTTAAGGCGTTATTATTATTATTATTAACTCCAGCTCCATATTCATACTCAATTGGTAACCTGAAAAGCCCAACAGAGCTGAAAGGAACAGGGAATTTCTCCATGGATCTGTACGTAGGAACAGAGGGACCATTTTGTAACAATGGAATTTTTTCAAGGGATCTAAGTGATAATTTAGCCTGTTGAAGCGCCTCAAGAACAGATCCCAATTCACCCGAATTTTCATGAGTTCCAACGTTAGTTTCATTTGACTTATTACCTGAAGTTTGTTCACCTTTATACAACAAGCCACTGTTTTGAGAAGATGACACGTGTCCTGGGATGAAATCTGAAGGCTGTGGATGGTTTTGAATTTGATTATCTGACACATAGACATTGTTGTCCATGTCACTGTTCTTTGGGTCTTCAGTCTCTATCTTGATGTTGGGTTCTTCACTTAATTTGGCATCAATTTCTTCACTTCCACTTCCAGGGGTAGTTTTGTCATTACAGCAAGGTGATGGTATTACCGGAGGAGCTGCACCCTTAATTTCGTCTCTTTCCTCTGTTACATCTGAGTGGGTCCCAGGGTCACACCAGTCCTGCACATACTCATGAACATTAAATAAACACAATACTAACCTGTCATGTCATGACATGCATAATAAAAAGTAAAGAAATGAGATGACATACATTCTCTCTAAATTTATCCTCCCATTCTCTTTGAGCCTTTTCCTCTGCTTCATATCGCGCTATAAATTGAGCTTGACGTTCCAACGCCCTTTCCATGTCTTTTTCACTTCCATCATTTTTCACACTTTCCCGCCCTTCATTTTGTGCCACGTCATCATTTTGTGCCCTATGTTCTCTGTGTCTGATCTGGCGACATGATTTACCAACGCGTCTTGGTGAAGAACCGGTTGATGTAAAGCTATTACTACGTCTTCTTCTAGAAGCTTCTGTGTATTTTTTTTCAAGAAAACGTGAGGAGGAATTTTTACTGCTTTTCCAGGATAAGCTTCTAGAAGATTCAACCTCGGAGCTTGAGAATTCACTTTCCTGGGGTTTTGATTTCACATGTTGTAGTTGTGTTGATGTTTCTGTTTCAGCATGCTGACTGGATATTTCGTCTTCATCTGAGCTTGAATTGAATTGTTCAGAAAGATCGTTTCTGCCATGGTTTTCTAAAATTAGAAGAACATCTACTGTTGCTTTTTCTGCTTTTTTTCTTTGAAGGGATATGTATTTCAGCTGCTTTTCTAACTCTGATACCTGATGCAAAACAATTTATAAGATTTTGAAAAAAAAAAGGAAAAAGATAAACAAAAAAAAAATTGGTTATACCCTTTTTGACAATTCGTAAGCTCGTTGTCTTGCTGTTCTTGAGACAGATCTTTCTGCTAGTAATCGTGCACGAAGAAAATCGATTGTTTTGACTGTTTTGTCCTCCATGATATTTTTATTCCTGATAGATTGAATTTAAAATGATTCATGGAAAAGAAAATATATATTCATTTTCCACAAATGAATATAGACATTATTTGATGATTGTTAATGGAGAAATATAGCACTACCTCATTTCCAAGAAAGGAGGTTTGCTTTGACTTGTGAGTCAAAGTGACTACTTTTCCAATTCCAAGATTTACATAATTTAACATTTTCGGAAAAAAAAATGATATTTATACAGTTTTTCTTTGAAATAAATACTAACAGTGAAATATTTATGTGATATAAATATGTCACAGATTATTTAAAAAGAACATCAACTTTGAATATGAAAGGCTAAGAAGTCAAGATTGAATAAGTCAATAAAAGCTCGACTCGTTTATAACCCTACCAACCAAAATTGCTAAAAACATCAACCTGATTTTAATAAGAAAATATAAGCACATGTGTAGATTATTACTGAGGTGACAATTTTCACCCATTTACCTAAAATGGGGGGGTTATTTTGGTTTAGACTTCAATTCCAAGGTTAAATTGGTAAAATCTACAAGATTGTATAAAGATAGAAAGGGTCAAACAGTGGTTTAAATTCAGGGGTAATTGGGGAAAAAGCTGGACAGAATGGAGTTGTTCTCCATTTGATGGCTAAATATCCCCAGTTTTCTTGTATTCCCTGTATTTTCACCTTAGCTTCTTGCTAATGGTGGTTTTTTATATATAAATGCTTTGCTGTTTCGAAAAAAAAAAGTATTAGTGGATCAACCTAACCTCATCAGGCCCAGTTTGGTCCATATTAAAAAATTACCGATTTTGCCCCCTCCAGTAATTATCACTATATATTATAATGGAGGAAGCACTACTAATCTCATTGACTTTTAATTTTTACACCTAAAAATATATATACACGACATGGACAGATTTTGTGGTATTCCTGGAAGACAAAGTAAAGACTCAATTAAGTCCTCCCATCTGACTTTTGAAGGTCAATCAAACTATTTTTCAATTTATTTGTTGATCTGAATGAACTTAGCTATTGAAGAAAATTTGAAAAAAAATACTTCATGTACAAAAAATAGGTATTAAATGCATAAGCATTCATGTTTACTTTGAATATAAAGCTCACTAGGTTTAAAATTTGAATCTCAAAGGAGTAGAGAGGTAATTGGGCACAACTTCTTTCACCATAATTACTACTAATTATGTATTGGTAATTAGACTATTTACACTATTACTCAAATTGTACAAACACTTTAAAAATGTGTTTGTTATGAACCTTATTCAGAATGCAAATAGGGAATTACCGAATTAGCAACCACTTAGATGTAAATCGTAGTCTTTATCAACCATATAGAAGCATAATCCCCTTTAAACATAAAAAGAAGCTATAAATGCAATGAACAGAAAACATAAACCCCACAGAAATATTGTAGCAAATCAAGAGGTGCAGAATTATCGCCAGAAACTTAACTATGAAGCAAATTCTTCTGAAATCTGAACATATCAAATCAACCTTTTTAGCTACAGATCAAGACGTTTAAAGAGCACCCAAGCCATACTCAGTTGTTAGCTGCATTTTAAATTGTCTCATTCTAGAACATAAGCTGAGAAGATACAAAAGTTACAGACTGATATAAACACACAAACACACACAAATCTAAGATTTATATATACACAGTTACAGATTACAGATTGATCAAGACGTTTACTGATGCAATTCTCTTTTTCTGATTTATTCCAGACCCCACACAAAAGACAACCCAATATTGATATAAACACAGTTGCAGATTGATATAAACACACAAACACACACAAATCAAGTATCATCACAGTTACAGATTGATATAAAGTATAAACACACAAACAAACAGAAATCAAATATCATCACAGCTACCCGATGTCATATAAAAACACAAACACATAGTCTAAGTGACATGGAGACACGAAGAAAGAGGGGCAGGCTTCTGACCTAAATGGTAGCTGGCAGCTACAATTGGGCTTCGGCTTCCCGTCGGTTTCTGAATGAAGGTGGGATAGTGGACTGGCTTGCGGCGGAGAAGAAGTTGGAGCCTCGGAGGTGAGGTTGATGACGCCGACGACTCGACAAGAGAAAATGAAATCGGTGGTCAAGACGACCTAATTTGGTGTTTCCCCTTTCCCCTCCCGACTTGATAATGAAAAGTAACTACTCTGTTTACATCACTACGACATTGACAGGGTGTTTGTGAGTAAGCAAAAATGTTTATCGACTTACCTGATTGTAAAATGAGTTTATTTAAAAATAAATAAAAAATATTGGAATAAATAATGATAAAAGTCAACTAGTAAATAAGTTAAAAAATATTTAGCTTAAAATCCCTTAAATTTTTCTTTTTGAAGCTATTTTAACCAAAAAAACCAAATCAATGAAAAAATCAAAGTTTTATATGTTTTTTCATAATCTCCTTTTTGAAACTCATATTTCAAAAGTGATTCTAAGTTTGTCAAAACATTATTTTTGATTTATCTTTTTCAAAAAATCAATAAGTTATTTTGAAAAAACAATCTCAAACACCAACACCCTTGAATTTTTTTTATTAATTTGATTCAGATTAATCGGTTTAACAATTAACAAACCATTAACCGAAACAACTAAAAGATTATACATTTTGCGGTTAACCGAATAAGCAACCCAAAAGGCAAAAACTAAATAACCCGAACAGTTAATCCATTTTTTATTTGGTTTTGATTTTTTTTACTATCCTTAATAAATACAACTAATCTAACCATTTAATAAAATAAAAGCAACGATGGTATGGAATTGCTTCGTTAGGATTTTATTTTTCATCTAAGGACTTTTAGATAAATATGATATTTTGAAATTTATAATAGATAAATATGATATTTTGAAATTTTATAAAGGATATATATATATGATAATTTTAAACTTAGATTTACAGAATAAATATAATAGTCAAAATAAAAATAATTATTTAAAATGTTTACAAAATGCTAAAACTTAGGATTAGGGCCTATTATATATTGAAAGTTTATGAGTTGGACAAATGTAATAATAATCAAATTCTTAAAACAATGAGATAAAAGAAAAAATTAGCATCAACATTTCATTATAATCAACAATAACAAAAACTCTTTTTTTCTTTCAAATAATTTAGCATATTGCTTATAAAGATTAAATACGACATTTTACACAACATCCCCCTCAACTACACAAACACAACCAATTAAGTAGAATAAAAGAATGATGAGAAGAAATCCCCACAACCTAAAACACCAATTCCTAGGAATTTACCAAATAACTAAACGCAACATAATTAAAGATTCAATCAATTAGACCACAAAACCACTCAAAATCGCCATTAGCAGACTCAAACTCAACACCACTATCGATCCATGCCCTTTTAATCCGGAAGAAATATCTTGTGGCCTGAAAAATAATTTTCATTAATTTCAATTTCAACAAACAAACATCAATTTAAATCAAAAAGACGTGAAAGCAAATGAAGAAAATAATTTTCACTACTACTTACTTTTGCATACGGCTAAGGGCACCACAGAAAAGGGCATTATCGGGAATTGGCAACTCTGTTTTGTTGTTTTTTTCAGGATTAACAATCCTAATATATGTTTCTTGACCAAGATACCATGAGTCGAGATTTTCTGTTCTTAGATTCCAAATTCCTACGTTGTCAAGAGAGATCAAGACTGCTGTCCATGCGCCAGGATACACCTACATATATTATATAAAATTATAAACCATTATAATTTTTTAAAAGTTATACATTCTTTTAAAAAAAAAAAATACCTGTGTTGTTGCACGAGCAATACCATCCCACTTATTGTATTGTCCCCTGCTATCACTTGTCCACTCACCATACCCCATTCTAAGATCAAATAACAAGCATCAATATAAAAACATCACAAAACATTTTCAAGTATAATAATAATAATATAAAACTTGAAAATTACAAAAGTCCATTATGTTTTGGGCAATTTTGTAGTTTACAAAAGTCCATTCTTTTAAAAAAAATAAATAAATAAATAAAAACCCTTATATTTTGTGTTTTTCCGGATTAAACCTCAAAATTATTTTTTGCCTAAAACAGACCTTGTATTTTTTTATTTTTTCCGAAAAAAGCCCTCAACTTTGAATTTTTTTTCCGAAAAAAACCTTCAACCTTCTAAATGCTTCCAAATAAACCCTCAACTTTTGTTAGTTTTTCTCGAAAAAACCCTCACATTTTACAATTTTTTTTGGCAAAAAATGACCAAATCGGGAAAAATGAAAAAATACAAGGTTTTTTTTTCAGGCAAAAAATAAATTTGAGGTTTAATCCGAAAAAAACACAATATTAGGTCTTTTTTTGAGATTAACCCTTATTTTTTCCACAAAAATTCTGATATTTTCTCAAATTAACCATTTTGACATAACAAATTACTTGTGAAACCTTGATATAACATGTCAAAATGGTTAATTTAACCACTTATAACTAATTTTTTCCAATCAAACCATAAAAAATTCCAACATTTTTTCAAATTAACCATTTTGACAATGTCTACTTGTCAAAATGGTTAATTTGGAAAATTATCGATGAAACCTGATATAACAGGTTTCATCGGTAATTTCTACCGTTTGATTGGAAAAAACAAAGTATTAGAGGTTAAACTTCCCAAACTACAACAATTTTTTCTTTTCTAATTCACCCAATAAAACTTTACAAAACATAAAAAAATTCACATACCCAACAACAAAAAACGCATATCCATCCACATGGTAGCTATGCATTTTGGTTTCATTGTTTTGTAATATAACTTCCATAAATCCACGATATGTTCCATTAATAACCGATGTTTCCATTCTAGAAGGTCCCGTGAGTGGCTCAGTTGGAAAATCAAGTTTATACGCTCCCTTAACTTTAAACTCATCTGCTAACCGAATTGGTGTGGTGGGGTTCACAAATGAGATCCCACTCAGGGTTGCCCTTCTTTTCCCATTAATTGTCACGGGTGCTTTGTTTTTAAGTATGTAAACTTCAGTCACATTTATAGACCCGTATCTAAATGACCCTTGCGGGTTTGGGCGGGCCCCACTAGCTGACACATTCCACCTACATCAATCAACAAGGTTTTAACAATGTACTTTACCCCTTTTACCAATAGCAACATACTTACATTTCTTTAAGCATAACAAACAATATAACTTATAATTCCTTACTCATAATAGCAGTGGTGAACATATTACATACCTAATGGATCTTGCTTGATTCATGGAGAAAGTATTGTCAAACTGATCTTGAGGAGGTTGAGGAAGAGGACCAGATGCTTTCCCTTTGGAATTGGAGTAATGCAAGATACCAACACCAGTAACACGTTGCCAGGTGGACTCATTAACAAATCTTGCACTAGCAACAATGTAGTAATCACTACTTGCATTTTGATCCATTGTGACTAAAAAGGAGTATGTTTGTCCCACATGTATGTCTAAGCTTGTATAGTTTTGTTGCACTGTATATGAGCCCTCTGTTTCTGCTAAAAGCAAGTTATGGTTTTGAATTCTAAAGTTCAAACTAGTTGATACTCCAACATTGCTCACACGAATGCGATACGTTTTGCCTGAAGATTATAAAGTTAAAGATCTTTAACAACTTGTAATGAGTAAAGAAAGATTAATAAACATTTCATTGATGTTGTGAGTTGTGAGTTGTGAGATGTGGGTTGTGATCATTACCTGGTTCAACATTTATGGTTTCATGATCGATTTTATCAGGAACAAGAGCGTCATTGTATCTATATGGGCCTTTGCCATTGATAAGAACACCATCAGGCATTCCAAGATCACGTCCAGCATCAAGAGTGTGTCTTAAAGCCTACAAACCCAAAACAGTCAATGTTATGTTATACAACGTAAATGGTGAAAATGTTCACTGAGGCATTTCATCGAACACTTACTGTGTGGTTTCTTATGTACCAGTCACCTATCAAGACTGTGATATCGCCAGCTGGGTTGTCAAATGGGATAGGAATGACGGAGCGTGGGTTGATTATGAATCCACCAAATCCACCGGATGCTCTTTGAAAATTGAGCGAGGGGAAGTAGAAGTAGCTCCCGATTTGATCTTTAACTTGAAAGTTGTAAGTCCAGTTCCATTTTGGGGGTATTGGACAAGTAGTACCAAGAACACCATCTTGCCAAGAACTCCGTTTTTGCTGTACGCCGGCCCTGTTTCGAGAGAGAGATATACGATTCAATCATACATCTTTCAAATTCGTTCGATTTACCATATTTCAATCTGGATTTGTGAGTATTCATTACAAGATTTCTGATTTAACAATGATAGTATACGAATATTACCAAGTAAGAAGAAGGTCTTCATCTAATTTGTTCCTCACATTGACAACAACGTTGTTGTTGGTAGTTGAATTTATTGTAGGGCCTGGAAATTTCCCATTTATAGCAATAACCTACACGATTTAAATTCATAACAATCCCCATCAAGAACATCCTCATTAAACAATTGTCAAAATCCAGATCTGAAGCTAAAATCTCTAATGTTAGGAAAATCTTAAACAAACCCATCGATTGGTGCCAGAAATTTAGCAAAACCCACATGCGAACACTAAAAAAGAGAGCTTTAACACTTAGACATCAATCGTTGGATGAGCATTGAGCGAAAACCCAGTTGAAAATAAAAACACAAAATGCAATGAAAAAGACCGAATCTACAGCTAACCCATAGTTCTCGAAAATCAACAAAATCCAACTGGGGAAATCACAAAAATCTGCTAGTATACCTGTTGCGGGACTCCAAGAGGTGAAGCAGTGATGTAAGAAATATCAAAATGGTATGTAACGGTTGGATCTTCAGCTGAAGTGAAGCTTAGAAACAAGGAAATGTAGATGAAAAGAGCACAAGAAAGAAAGCTAGAAGAAGTAGCCATGGATGGGAAAGAACTTTTGAAGGTTTTTTGCTGCTCTAAAAGAAGGCAAACAATGAAATCAATGAAATTTCAGCACTTTTTAATGGGTTTTACATATCAACTACAGAGAGAAAGTAAATGAATTTTAGAGAGATGGGAAGCGTTTAGTGTGGGGACAAAGAACAAACGGCTCTTTTTATTGCAATCATCAAAATTTAGACTAAATTTATTAGACATAAATGGTCCATGTGTTTATTCTGAGATTGCACTCCAAGTCCCTTTTATTTTTTTATCTCTATCTAAGCCATGTGGATGTAATATATTGCACCAATGGTCCTTCTGTCCAAATTACCTTTGTTTTCTCCTGTTAGTCATGACCACTGCAAAGGGCATAATAGTCTTTTCTCTCATCATTTAATGAAATTCTCTATATATGACTTTTTTATTCTAATTTTCTTCCTCCCCACATTGTTAATAATGTATGTGAATAAAAACTATAGTGCAAAAAGAATTCATTGTGTTATGATATTGCAGAAAGAATACAATGATCATGTTAGTTAGAAGTTAAAACTAGTAGACATGTATGATGTTTTGATGTTGTTAAAACAACGGAATCTATGCTGCAACAAATTGGATCTAATGTATGCTCGCTAAAGTAGCTGACAAGTAAGATATTTTGTTATCGTAAAAAAAAAGGAAATATGGACAAAAAGAGCTTGACATTGCTAATAAAGGACATTGTTATTGCTAATAAACTACATTGGTATATATAATGAAATTGGCAACAGACAATTTTAATGACATCCCAAAGCAACCATTTAAAAAGTTAAATAAATAAACTCGACTTGATAATGTCCTATTTGATATAGCAAGGTCATAAAAAACGTTCGATGTTAGCTAGTCGGTGTATTAGGTTAAGGGATTAATCGGGTAGACGGGAACTAATCGGGGACCATTAATTGCATGCTAATTTGTTGAATTTTAAAAAATTAAATATGACTAATATCATATCAAATTTCGTAAATACAACTAATATCATAATATAATAAGTTAATATGATTAATACAACACTAATCAAACCTCAAATAATTTATATTGAGATGGAACTTCTTCAAACTGTTAAAACTTTATCATTATCTACTGTTTTACTCATTGTGTATGCAGAGATTAATCGTTCGAGTAGCGCCTAGAGATTAATTGTAGATTAATCGAGACCTAGTCGGGATTTTTACAACTCTGGTATATATTAATATACAAGGTATATTTCTATTGCGACAACTTCAATAAGAAATAACAATAATGTCAAAGGAGGTCATAACTAAGAACACGTCGTTAGTGTGTGTCTGAACTTCGGTAACCAAGTAGCATAAGAAGATTAACTGCGTATGTCGATAGTCAATATCATACGAAGATTTACAACCATCGTTAATCAAGAAAATACATTTGTTCTTTAATCTGGATTGAAGAAAAGAGAAGATGAAGAATGACCTCATTCGACTTTATTGTTATTTCTTACAGATTTATGTAGAAGAAGATGAAGAGATCAATCAAGCTTGGGATGATAAACTTGACGTAAGCCTAAATGTTCATAATTACCCACGACTTTGAGGCAGCGTCAAAGGAAATGGTGAGAATGAAAGACAATTGTGCCCTCATGTGTGAGGCATGCCCTTGTGTGTGAGGCGTGTGGTCATGAGCAGCGCAAGAAACAAATGTAACTGGATGGAATGGCCATCTTTGTAATTTAGTTTTACACTTATTACAAATTAACTATTTTGTATCAAAACATAATTTCAAAATTTTTAATTGAAATTTTTATATAAAATTTACTAATATAACAACTTTTTTCCAGTTATGGACAATATGTTACCAAATTTTTATATAAAATTATAATACAATACAGTAATTGTAATATAAAATATTATTATAACAAATAAAATTAAAATAAACTAACATTTTAAATAGAATGGAAAAAATATGGTTCAAAAAAATAATAATAAATAAATTATGATGTTGTATAAAGGAAAAAACACATTTTCAGCTTTCTTGGCATGCATTAATGCATGATAATTGTCTGATTGATAGGGATAGATTTTTGGTATCAATTTTAGATTTTTGGTATCAATTTCCTGTGGGCATATAGCAAAATTGAGGGAAGCCATGAAGTTACATTCTCCTCCCCTCAAGTTTTGACTTATTCTAAAATTTCTAATTCACTTTCTGTTATTTTAATACGTTTTCATAAATTTAAGACTTTTAACTCAAATTTTGATGTCATGAAGAGCAAGTATAACTATGCTTCAATTGCAATTTTGGACCAAATTTGAAAAAGTAATGATAATATGAAAAAAGATTGTAATAAGTATATTGTTTAAGGACTGAAACGAAATTCTGCAAAAAGCAACGGAAGGATTGTATGGCCAGTGGTGACAGCTAAGGCCAGTTCAAAATGACACCACTACGCGCATTTTAGCAGTAACAGGAAGATAAAATATATCGTACACCTGACATCAGTAATCTATGTGTTAATTAATGTTCGTAATCTTTCTTTGCGTGTTTCATATGCATACTTTGCTTCATAATCACGGTTTCATCAAGACACATGGGAAGCTAAACTATTGGCAAATTGAGTTATCTAACCACTTTTTTTTTTTATGTATATTTGAAAAAATAGCTCAAATTCTTTTTTTTTTTTTGTTAAATGACCACTTTGGTTGGAATGGGGCATTTCGGACCAACATTATGGATTTCGGACTAAAATTTCAGATTTCGAAAAAAAAAACTTTGGAATTTCAAGAACAGGTCCGAAATCCGAAGAACATTTGTAGAATTTTGAGAAAAAAAAATGTTTTTTTTTAACGGCAAAAAGTAATATATTAAAGAAAGTCAGCAGGGAGCTGGGTAAAAATAGTACATAAAGAAAATGAAACCATAAGAAACTTGAATGTGTAACTAAACCAGACAAATTTAATGATGACTAGAGATTTGTAATGACAAAATTGCAAGTTTGGTCCCTGTGGTATGTCAAAAATTGGATGTTTGGTCCAAAAAGTTTTGGGGTTGCACCGGTGGTCCAAAAGGTTTGATTTGTTGTGGAATTTATCCAAAGGCTTAACAGCCGTTTGTGCCCTCCGTTTGTGTGAGGGTATTTCTGTCAATTCACACCCCTTCTTTTGATTCCTCACCACTATACCTTCCATTCGAGACAGAAGAGGCGCCTTTAAGCCGTCATTGCTGCTTTCGTCTTCTCCTCTGTGAAATAGTGAAGTACCGGAGGTGCTTCTCCCAGCCAACGACCGATCGCCTCCACCTCCCCTCCCCGTGGTTGCCTGACCACCAAACACAGCCTCCACTGGCGCCAGTCACTACTACCGTGCCCTTCGTTTTCCCCCATTGCACCTCACGACTGGAGTAGAAGAAGAATGAGTCGTCGACTACCACCTCCTAACACCCCTCGCTGCCTCCTCATTTCCCTTCCTCTTCTTCGGCCTAAGTCGAATCCCGGAGGCCATCACCGATTGCGAATCAATCGACGAAAAATCAGAAGCCATCAGACCCCCTTCCTTCAGCCAAAAGAACGATCGAACCTTCGTTGACTTCGTGTGCCTTCTTCTAGACTGCCTTCGGTTCATTCCCGTTCCAATCTCCTCTTCCTCCTAATCGATTCAGCTACATCAAAGAGGGCTTTTACTTGAATCGGATCTGATACGTCGGCTTTAAAAGAAACAGCTTGTGGGGATTCAGATTGAGATTTGGAATTAATTTCTGAAACGACTAGATCTGCTTTAGAGGAATTAGAAGTGTAATTGACGACGAGTTTTGCTCCAAGGGATGCTAGGTGGAGGGAGATGGCTTTGCCGATACCGCGAGAGCCGCCGGTGACGATTGCAACCCGGTCCTGCAGTTGGAGGGGCTGAGATTGGATGGTTTTCGGTGGTGAGACTGTGGTGATTTTACTAGCCATAGGTGTTGTTGAGTCTTGAAGTTTGAGTGGAGAATTGGAAGTTGGACAGAAATACCCTCACACAAACAGAGGACACAAACGGCTGTTAAGCCTTTGGACCAGTTCCACAACAAATCAAACCTTTTGGACCACCGGTGCAACCCCAAAACTTTTTGGACCAAACATCCAATTTTTGACATACCACAGGGACCAAACTTGCAATTTTGTCGATTTGTAATGGAAACCAAACTAACGACTAAGTTTGTGAGCACCAAGGGCAAAAATGTCATAGTTGTATAGTTGTAGACACCAAGAGTCTTAGCCATGAAAGGAGGTTAGGGGCGACAACATCCAAGTGACAACAACCATGTTTAAAGTAGCTTCAACCTTTAAAGGGGCAACACCAACAGGGGCAGTACGGGCAAAATGCAGTGCTTCGGACCATGGATCAAGAGCCTCCAAATCATAATGGTTGTCTTCATGTGACATCCCCAAATTCATGGTCATTTTAAAAATTTTATTTATGCTTACTTGAAAATCAGAGTATTCATTTTTAAAGAATAATATTGCGGAATTTGTTCCCAGAAAAACATGATAAACATATTATCAAAACATTTCCGAAGAAATGTATTTTGTTTATATAAAACTTTGGGATGTCATCGTCAATATATAAACATAAACATAAACAGATCTTACATTCATTTACACTAGTGATCTACATCTCCTTTAATCTCTCAGTGTAAAGTAGTTTCGTATCGATACCTGTGGTACAAATAAACTAAGTGGGTCACGTTGGGAAACATGGTGAGTACATAGGGATTTCAATCCCACAATGTTATATATATATATATATATATATATATATATATATATATTTGTGTGTGTGTGTGTGTTTTAGAACTCACAACATATACAATTTCACCTCATATAAGCAATTTTTACCCCACCCCGTCGATCCTTACAACGACACGATCTATACTCTCGGATCTAAAATTAACCACTTTACCTAATCCATACTCCTGGATCTAAAATTAACCTCTTTACCTAATCCATACTCCCGAATCTAAAATTAACTTCTTTACCTAATCCATACTCACGGATCGGGTATGTCTAATCCATGCTCCCGGATCAATAATTATGCTTATTCCATACTCTCGGACTAGGGACAATTGACTATGTCTAATCCATGCTCTCAGATTAATGACAAATAACTATGTCCTCTCCG